AATTTACTGTACTCAAATGATCTAATTTTCTATCTGAGTACCGGCAGCCACAGCCAAGAAGTTTTCAAGCAGATCTGTGGGGGGGGAGTTGTAGGCGTGTTACGATCGCCCCCCCAAATCAATTCTATTTGGAGTTCCATGGGTGTTCCGGTATTTTTTTCTCGATGGTGAATGACCTGAGTCAGGAGCTGGAACTCTTCCTCCACTCGCTGAAGGAGCTCTTGGAGCCCGAGGACCTCACCTTGCACGCCGGGGCCGAAGGCGAGCTCAAGCTGAAGGGCCAGAAGGAGCTGTGAAGAACTGACCAACTGACGTACCAAAGATAGGTGCAACAGTGCGTTTCTGTTGCCAAAGACAGTTTTGCTGAGAGTGTTTTGAGTTGCAGTAGAAGGGAAGCACGTGCTGGCCACAAATCCCTCCAGGGGACAACAAAAGGGCCCAGGTGGCTTGGAGCGTACCTAGCAATTTACCACAATTGACGCATTTTTCGAACTCACCCTTCCAACCATCGCTTCGCCCGTCCGGAGGCCTCGCCCACTGGCTCCAGGGGCTGCTGAGCCGCCCGGGGCTTCGGCCACGGTCGGCGCAGGAGGCACTGGACGCACTGCAGCAGGTGCAGCCGAGCCCGGGGGGTGTGGGGGAGTAGGAGCGACGCTACGAACGTAGCTCCTGGCATCGCTACGAACGGAACAAGGATGCTACAACGCCTACTAGTAAAGTTACGTACTAGTAGGTTGCACGCGGTGCGATGATCGTGGGGCCCGGGGGTTCTGGTTTGGCTGGTTGAGCTGGGAAGTTGCTGTGTGGTGGACGTTGGAATCAGCTCAAGAGAAACCGCACAAGGTGGTAAACTCTTGCGACAGATTCCGCTCTTGGAGTGGCTGGTGGTAGTGGGAAAGACCTGGGAGTTTGTGGAAAATGGGTGATGACTGTAGTGTTTTGTCAGGCTTAGCATGAAAGAAAGCGTGTTGGGTGCCATTTCTAGTTCTCAGGCCCAATGACCGTAGGTGGATGCTATACATCATAGAGGTCTCCAAATGGACAGTTTCACAGCATCCCAAAGAGATTCTAAGAGGTTTTCTTTGGATCTTTTGGATCTTTTTTTGATTGCCGCGTGTGTTTGTACAGAGCTCATGGGCAGGGCCTCGTATGCAAGACTTCCGGAGTTTTGCTGGTGCACGTCTTACACGTCCTGGTGAGACATTTTCGGACACGTCGACGCTTTCTGGGTCGAAAAAAGAACCACCAAACGGAGCGCTCCGCTGTTTCGTGTTTCTTTCGTTATAGATGGATGCTTGGCTCATGGCTTCCCGTTGCCGGCACCGACGGCTTCCCAGCTTGGTCCGGACACTCTGGACGCCCGCGCTCCAGGCCTGGGCAAGCGCGGAGCCCTCCTTGGCCGCGGCGCGCTGGAGGGTGGAGACGCCGGACCGGGAGCCGCACCAGCAGTCCTTGGTCGTGCCGCAGCAGCAGTCCTTGAAAGGGACGTCGTGCCGCGTTTTTCGTTGTTTTTTTGGGTTCGTTACCCTTTTAAAACCCAGCCAGGGGCGAAAAACGGGGTCTCCCTATTCAGATACACACCCATATTGAATCTTTGGGATCCTAGGGTCTTGCTTATATCTTCCAGAAAGCCTTGGTTTCTACCAACAGATGGGTTGCAGGGAGTTCGATTTGTATGAATAGAGATAGAGAAGTAAGTGTATAGAATGCATATATATATATATATATATGTGAAGACTATCTAAATGGATACCAGCATTTTCCATATTTGTCGGGAGTACTTGTGAGCGACTTTGCCATGAAGTCTGAACTAGCCCGAGTCTTATTAAACTTGCCATGAAGTCATCAAACAACAAGAGAATTTGAGAGAAGACCAAAAAACACATTCGCATCCTCACGACGGTCACGACGGACAACGGACCTCATGCAGTCGACCGAACCTCACCCTCCGAACGAACCCTCCGAGCGACCGAGGTGCTGCAAGAGCCGAAGCTTTTAGCGGGCATGGCGATTGTGTGAGGTGCCGTCGGCGCCGCCGGCGTGCGACTAGACTTGTCGGGGCTTCTGCTGCAGAAGGCAGATAGAGAAGACATTTTTGGTGTCCAAACGAGACTGCTTTGAAACAACAACCAAACTTGTAGCTAAGTCACCTGCTCGACTCTCAACTCTTGCTTCCTCAGTATCCTTTATACTGGAAAATGGTCTCTAGACAGGTTTGGAGACCATTTGCGGTGGTCTCGGAATCGGAGGTCTTCCTCAAGAACAATGGTTACTAGAGTAGTACAGTATACACAACTTTTTTGGTGAGCACACCTGCGATGGTACTTAGTGCTGCTCCACAACATTTTTGCTCCATGACAACCTTGCTTCCTGAGAGATACCAAGTCTCTGCAGTTTCAGAAGCAGTTTCCTTGAGGACCCAACAGCCAACTTGAGCAGGTGCCTCAGTTTCCATTTTCGCACAGTGGTCACACACACACATGCAAACGTTTGTGTTGATGCTCCACCAGGGCTCAGGCTTGATGCTCCACCGCTGCTTTTTTTGCATCATCACGCAGTTTTCCTGGTTTCCAGTGTGAATCTTTGGATGTACATCAAAGCCAAGTATGAGTGTTTTGGTGCATCTACGTTTCCATATCCCTTACTTGGTGGGAGTCCAGTCTGCTGGGCCACTTCAGACATTGGTCTGGAGCGTTAACGAGCTAGCCTCAAGGATGAATGGAGTGGGCTCCTGGGAGGATACCCCGCATACAAGATGAAAAGTAGTCGATGAAGGAGTGTTAATTTGCGTACTTCTTCGAAGACTCACATTGTTTTGTGGATTTTAGCTCTTGTCCTTAGAGTAACTTCAACAACGAATTGTTCATACAGAAAACCTTGGTACCCTTCGAGTGGGGCACACTCCAACACTCTTGACAGTCGCAGTCTTTTTGGCGCCACGCCAGCGACCAAGCCAAGCATCGCTCGGTGCTTTGTGCCAGCCCTGTGCCACAGATGTTGACTGAACTACTCATGAAAGCCCGGTGGCCAGATGAAAAAAGGTGCTGCCACAGCAAAGACCCGAGAAATACGGCGGAAGTCCAGGATTTTTAAAACTACTTTCTGTCATTTTTTTTGTCAACCAATTTTCGTTCTCATCTCCAACAATCAAACCATGCTTACAGTGAAGCCGGTTTGAGCAGTGGATCTTAGAGAGGTCCGAGGCGGGTCAGCAATTGACCGTCAAGTCACGTGTGCATCGCCCCTGAGGGGGCTGTTTCCGGAGTCCAACTGTTTGGGACTTGTGGAATGTAGAGACCCTCTCCAAAAAAGACTTGTCTCCTTTTGGACCCTCATATATCATCATACAATCTCATATATATATATACACACACATTGACACACATGGGGTCGTTCTTTATATGACTCTATGACGCTTGACACCCCAACTTGCCCACCCATGAATGACGGAGGGAGGGTCAATGACGTTGAGGTTTCCTCTGGTGGCTTTTGCAGACTTAACTTGCTAGTGGTATTTCTTGGGATTATTAAACGCACAGGTCCTCATCTTCTTCCTTCGCTTTCGTTGAAGCAATCCCTACAGCGACTTTCCTGGCGGTTTGCGGGCGCTGGCGAACGATGCCGTCGAGCCTTTGGCTTTTTTGCCAAGGTCATGTAGTGAGCTGCTGTCTCTGGAGGCACGAGGTCTTCAGTTGGAGTCACTGTATGTCACTGTTGACGATTCGAGGTAGAAGCCTCCCATATTTTAGGATCCTTATGACGACCCACCAGAGGGCTGAGATCACAGGTAGTCTGAAGACAGAAGTTCGGGGATCATCCGATCAAATTGGAACGATACTAGATAGGCGATTAGCATGGCCGATTACGATACAGGTCGACTGAAGTCGATTTGGTGATAGGCGAAATCCAAAGAAGCGTTGGGATCCCAGGTGGTCCCTGGAAAGTCGAGCCTCCGTGGGGGGGTTGGATTCGGTTGGATCGTCACTGCCCGGGCTTTTCTCCGGTTCGGAAAGAAGGGCAACACGAACGGAAAACTCCCCACTGTCCTATCCCAGCTCTTGTGGTTGGAGGCGGGCCGGAAGACTCTGGAATCGGGATTAGGTGGGATCGTGATCGTTGTACTGTTATTAAGAGACAAAACCATCGGTCCAGTAGATGGTACAGGGAAGAAGTGGGTCGCCCCGCATGTGGTTGAATCAACTGACCAAGCTTTGCAAGTCTACATATAAATTCTCCAAACACACACACGGAGCCGCACAGAAAGGAAGCACCCATCACTTGGGGGTTCAACTGGTGCAGCAAAAATGCCCAAATCCTTCGCAACTGAAAAGATAGATTGGCCAAGCTCTCATTTTGAGTTCTTTCCCGACTGCCCACACGGTTTGACCGCTTGGACAACGTCTCAAACAAATCTTGGCTGGACTGAAGAAAAACAGTTAGTGGGTCCATTTTAAGGTGACTTTTTGGGGCAGACGTCAGCACGTTTTTCGCAGAAAAGACCATCCTGACACATCCTGACACTGCATTGTTGAGCCAAAGCAAGTGATTTGGGATGAGCTAGACTCCCAAGAGTTGTACTCAGATACACCAATCCTTACAAGAGTATGTCAAAAAATTCTGTTTTATGCGCACACTTCCCGCACAGATCGCCGTTCGGCACATGGGATGGATGTAGGCAGATCATTGTGACCGATGGAGCTTCTTCACAGTCGCATGGGTTAGTAGTGATCCTACCTGGGCACCCAGGTGCCTCAGCTTTTCGCCGTGTTGCCATGCTCAAGGTTTTAAAGAGCAAGTTCCAAGACAGAAACACCCCAGCCAGAGTTGCCGTTGTCACTCATGTTGGGTCTTGCTGTTGCAGGTGTTTTTCTCGTTGTGTGTCACACCCAAGTGTACATGGGCTGTGTAGCAGCAGTTCAAAAGATTCGATCTCGGAAGCAGAGTGGATGTTGAAGTTTATGTAAGTCATGGAGAATGTTTTGTATAAGTCCTTCTAGCGCCTAGGGATGAGAAAAACCTAATCCTTCTACATCGCCATGTCGCGGGCAGCCGGCGAGGGCGAAGAACCACCAGGCGTGGGAATTTCTTCGTCTGGTGATGGGGAGGCAGATGTGCTGAACTTGGAGGAACACTGGTATATTTTCGTGGGACAATTATATGGAATTTTCTAACGTTGAGATTGGACAGAACTTGTTCTCTTGAAGTGAACCAACAGAGGCAGAACACCCAACATGAGGAACGCCCCGCCCCTCCCCTTGATCTTCTGGTCTTTCTTCAGCGGTTAGATGCCTTGGTGCCTCAAGCAACAGGTCCTATGTCTTGCAGTCAAAAGGGTCTTTCAAATGTCGACCAGAGCGGACGATGCATGGACGCTGCACGAGAAACATCACCAAGCTTTTTCTCTGGCCCTGTCCAAGCACCCTTCTTCGGACACCTGGGGATGCAGATGAAGACACTGAAAGATTGGCATCTCGCAGAGGTCGAACTGATGGTAGTTCCACGACACTCCAGTTTTAGTGGGGTCCTTGCCATGCTTTGGAGACCCGAACCCTCGACCGCCTACGCTGTGCGTTTCAACGGCCACGGGCGGCTTGGCTTCCCTTCAGACCCCCGCCGTGGCCCAGGTGTCAGTGCCGTGGCTCCCGTTGCCGCTGGGCAGCCTTTTCTTTTTTTTTCGTCCTTTCGACGACGAAGGTCACGCTTTGTTCGCAACTTCTGACGCACAGGAGTCCGAGTCGACATGCAGGAGTCGATCCTGGGAGGTCTTGACCAACACAGACTTCAAGGATCGAACTCCGTGTAGTCTGTGCGGAGGTCTTTCTTTTCTCTGCTCGCACCGGCCAATGGCCGACGAACTTTCTCCGTCCGCCATTGCAGTGAATTAACCGTTTTAGCACTCCAAGTGAGTGTTTATTCGTGGCATGAAGCCGCAGTCATATGGAAGATCTGATCCCACGACCCAATCTGTTGATGGGCTAACTCCGGTACCGGTATTTTTTCTCACAAGTGCTGGACCTTTGCAGCAAAGCCGGGCAAAGCCTTCAAACAGCAGGAGTCCAGTATTTACATTTACAGCTGCTTTGTTTTCTTGGATGCATCTCACAAACACAAGGTCAGGTGTTCCTGTGGATTTGTATCGCTGCCAAGGATCAGGAGGAGCGCCTGGAGGCTCAGATCATCGGGGGCTCCGGGAGCCCGTCACGCTGTGTCATGTTCGAACGTTCTTTACCAGGACGATCCTGTCTGGGAGTCCAATGGACATCTCTAAGTATTGTAATAGCAATGGCCTCCAACCAGGACAAGCGATGGCCTCCAACGTAAGGAGAGTCCATTGAACACCCAGACAGGATGGTCCTGGAAATGAGAGAATGCTTGGTGTCACCCACCGTTCGGCGGCCTTCGGGCGCTGAGACCGGCACGTTATGCGGCGCGTCCGACCGAATGCGGCTCCTGCACCGGCTGGCCTCGGTGAGGTCTAGAGCTTCTGGAGAAGAGTCAGGAGGAGCTGCAGCGCCTGGTCCGGGGCCTCTCGTTGGAACTGCACCCTCCGGGGGGGGAGCGATTGACCTGGTGATGTGTGGTCCGTGTGAAGTCCAATAAGCCTTCAAAATCCACCTACAGGCAGCGGCACCATCGCAAGTTCACCAACAAGATTCACAAGATGCAGTCCTCAGCAGTGCAAGCACGACTTTCAATGTGCACGACAAGTCAGCGCGACAGCATGACCCGACTGCAGCACGACGATCTCGCGTGACGCCAGTGTTTTGGTGTGACCCATGCCAGCCGCCCAGCGTGGCAACATGTCACATGACACCACACGAGCATCTCAGCGCGACAAGTGACAAGACGAATCATGTCAGCGTACCCGGTTGGCAGCAGCTCAGCGCATCAGAGAGGGACAGCAGATACGTGCAAAGTGCTCCAGAAGTTGCGACTTCGCAGCACCTTTCCACCTCCGAAACCTGCTCCCGCTTCCGCAGCCACCTGGCTTCCGACACCTGCTGCGGGCACCTGGCCGAGACCCTTCGGACTTGGCTCCGGAACGTCCCTGCTTCCTCCGCCACGTCCCTGCCAGCGCTCCGGAACGTCCTCCGAAGCCTGTACGACGGCTCCGCTGACCCCTGGGCTGCTCCGCGACCGTTGCGGGACAGGAAACCGGACACCGTTCGATCCGACTCCGCCGCTTGAGAGTCCAGACCCCGGTGTGGGGAGTCCTGACATCGGTGCGATGGACCGACACGGTTGGGGTGGTTGAACCGGTACCGCTACTCCGTAGTGGACACACCTACCTTTCGCAGACTGAGTTAGATTGCATGGTGCTCACCTCACTCAAAAAAGATTGGCTGGTTTGCTCTGAATTGATCGGGCGGAGAGCCGAACTGCTTTAGGCCCGTTGCCTGCAACTGTTTGAGGGTTTGTCCGCACTGAGGATTGCAGCAAGAGCTGCGGGAGTTGCGGCAAGAAAGGACCGATGACAAAGCAAGGAAGCGATGAAGTGGGGAAAAGACCGTGTCGGACGTGCATCGAAGCCTATTGACATTGAATTCCGAGAGTTGTGGATGGGGCTTGAAAATAGCCCTAAGCTTCTGTGGATTTCCAGGGAAGGTCATGGAAATCATGGGCATGCAATGCCTCTTTTAGTTCGAGACAGACTTTCTCGTCATAGTAATCGCTTTTCGACTTGCCCAGGAGTGCCAACTTGCCGAATGCAGTGCCAGACACCCAGGAGAGCTTGCCAGAGGAGGTGGGGACCTTGGGAAGATGGACATCCAGGAGCAAGACATCCAGGAGCAAAGCTTCTTGGTTGGGTGCAACATCAGTGGAATACCTCTTCCGAGAGAGCCTGGCTGGTGCCAGAAAAGAGATAGGCACAGTGACTTAGTGCGTGTTGGGAGGTTTGACCAGAAAGGCCTACCCAAGATAGTTAAGAAGAATTCAGGAAAGGCATCGCATGCTTCTTGCTCGCCTGGCATTTGGATATACTTACTTCTCTCAAGGCAAGTGGGACGAGGAGGATCACTTCTTGAAGAACGATGATAAACCAAGAAGGTAAGCCCAATGAGAGGAGCAGCCGAATCTACCATGAGCTTTCCACCCTGCGAACTATGAACATTTGGTATCGGTAAAAACATCTCAAAGAGTCTCGGTCTAAGTTCTTTTCCCCTGGATGCAAACACATTCATGTGCCGCCCACTGAAAGACAAGCAATGATGGATGTAAACTTGAGATCATCACCCAAATTTTTAAGGCTGACGGTCCTTCCCGGGATAATCAGGGTGGACCAGGGCTATTATAGTTTCCATGATAGCCATGTTTGTGGCCTCCCACGGTCCGTCACGCAGAACAACGCTGGGCGACCGCACTGCGGCGCTGGAAAATGTGCGCAGGCCTTTCCTTTGGCCAATGCCCATATCTTAGAGGTGCCAGTCAGCAACGCAGACATGCAGAGCCCCAAGACGACGGCCAGGGGCGGCTGTGCGGGGTGTGGGGTGGTCTGGCGGTCTGGCGGTTTGTGTGTTTTTTCCACACCCGAAGCGACACTCACAACCACCTCGCCCACATGGACGTGACGGTCACGTGGCGTTGGACGTCCGCTGGGTGCGTCGGTGAGTGAAGTTTTCCGGCGAACGAGTGGCCGGAACAACCAAGGAACCCAAGGAGCCAAGCTGATGGGTGGAGTAGATGGGTAGATGGGGTATGGCGAATCAAGCCAGGCTGTGGAGGATCTTGAAAGGCCCAGGTTGGGATGCAAAAGGGTTGAAAGACCGGTGAGTTCCGGTATTTTGGGAACCACACCCAGATGGGTAGTCTTCAGTACTGCTCATGTAGAAAGCCATGCACATGTGGTTTGACACCTGGATGACTGTGAGTAGGGGCGAGAGGAACAAATGGCATGCGGCAAGGCTTTTGTGCATTTGGAGCGCAGTAAAGGTATTATATATATTTTTTCTCTTCCTCACCGACTCACCCTCGGTGACTTTGAAGAGAAACATCGTTGCACTGATAAAACAAGATCTCTCAGGATTCGATGCCCAGAAAAGGACCATCCATCCGTCCAATGGGTCTCCTTCTTGGGTCCTACGGCACCCGGGGCGGGACGGATGCTCAAGGGCAAAAAAACACGATATGAACTCTTCTCTTTTGCTTCTCGTTTGCAACACACTCCCATCCATTTCTGAAAAAAGGGACATGGTCTTTTCCTGTGCTGAAAAGCCTCCTGCAAATCCAACGGCGACCCGTTGACGATGGAGGACCTGTTCACCGATCGGAAAAACGACCTGTAAGCCGCCGATCGAGCATGGTGAGGGGTAGATGGCCATCCCCACAAGCCTCCCGGTCGAGGGCTGTCATCGGAAGGGGCAGTCTTTGAAGCACTCTAAAACCACGGAGATGCGACCATTTTTCTGGCGGGGAAAAAACACAGAATGCCATGAAGCAGCTGTTTCGTTCAGCGCACGGCTGTTTCGTTCATGTTGACCGTTGACCTGCTTGTTCTTTCGGAACCGAAGACGACCGGTGACTGGCTCTGAAGACGACTGGTACATGTTCGATCTCTTTGGATCCTCCCGTTCACTCCAATGTCGGTTCGCCACCCACGTCAGCCCGTCAGCCGACACGACGCCAGGTTACGAGTCAGAGAGGAAAGACGGTGCCCTGGTTGAGTTGAGTGGGTGGGCGGAGGTGCTCCGATGGGTCGCTCCTCCAGGCGATTGAGCAGGCGACGGAGCAGGCGTTTTCGTCCTTTCAAGTAGAGACGATGAGGACGAACACATCCTTTGAAGTCTCATTTTTGGAATGTGATGATGCTCCAAGCTATGAACATGTTATATCATGATACGATATCGTGTATACATATATGTATATATAATACACATATACAAACTATGTAGAACCACATGTTTACATCCAACAGAGTCTTTGCCTGTTTGAGTTTGGTGCTCGTTGGGCTGTTCAGTATTCTTTTGTGTGTTGGTTTAATAACAAGGACGACGACGATGATGACGATGATGATAAAGAAGGATAACATGATAACCAAAGTGGTATGACAAGGAAGGTGGTGTGACAACGTAGATGATTTGACTCCCCGTCACCCGTGCCCGATTTTATCAAATGGTCTTTCGATGAGTCTCGATGACAATGCTGAGCGAAGAGACCAGGTCGGCAATCTTGGGCACGCGAAAGAAACGTCCATGCGAAAGACACGTATTGAATTGGGTCTCCCACAAATGAATAGTGCAGTGTCTCCCAGTGTCTCTCACACTGCAGTGCCATAATTGCTCTGTGAACTCGGCAGGTCTGTGAACTGTGCAGCGCTTCAGAAGCCTTCCTCAGCCCACCGGGACCCTAAAGCAATTGGATGAACACCATCGACTGACCATGTGGCTGGGGCATTGGTCGGTTCAACCCCCCCGCAATCCTGTTTTCGCTGTGTTCCCGTGAGGTCCCGGACGACCGTCCTTCCGGGGCTGGGATCCGCTACTGCTACCTACCTAACGCTCTACGGCCTACCCCCCCGGGGCTTCAAAAAAAGGAACAATGACACAATAGTAGGTATCTTTTTTATGATTTCTGGTTCTGTTTAACGTCACTTCTTCACCTCGGCCGGACCTCGCACCGTCACCGTCGAGGTGAATTACGACCAGGTGGACTCCAAGGCCTCCGAGGACCGGGACGTCACCGGGACGTCACCGGGAGCGTGACGGACCGCGGACGTCGCGGCCAGCGGTGACGGACATGTTCTTTGTTTGTGAGAAGGATGCTACCAATTTCTAGGTTCTACCAGGTGAAGGCAGATTTCGGAGACGGATTGGTGCGGGTTCCAATGATATTGCCAGGTTCCGCAGTGGCCATGAGTGTCGTTGGAACGACGTTTGACACCACATAGGTAGTTTCACCGAGGTGAAGATGTTTGAGGTTCTGACGGCCAGGTAGGTGCCCCAACCCGGACAAAGATTGCCACCGAAACCGGACGAAGAAGTCCGATCGGTCACACAAGTAGGATCGGTTTTGCAGGCTTGACGACTCTTTTTGGAAAGCGAGGTTGTTGAAGACTTGGATGACGAGCCACCGGGCTCTTTAGCAACTTTAGCCACTTTAACGGTTTCCATGGGCCGAGCAACAAAAACTGCAAAAACTGTCAGTGCGCATGGGTCTGTCTCGGGATCTGGGTAGAGGTTTGGATGTAGCCAGGCTTCCAAGAACTTGATTTTCCTTTTGAATAGGTTGGGTAGTTGCTGGTTGCTTCTCTTTCACAGCAGAAGTAGAAGCAGAAGCAGAAGAAGATGGGGAGGAAGAAGATGATGATGAAGAAGAAGATGAAGAGGAAGAAGATGAAGATGTATGGTGAGGGCATTCTCAACATCTCAAGGCTTGGGTCGCCGTTGCCTTTTTGAGGACTATTTCTTCCAATCAAGCACCTGGGATTTGGCCCTCTTTGCCGCTGGGAAGCAGTCATTGAGGCTTGCAGGGCTGACCAAACTGGTTTATGGAGCTGAATTGACTTAGATCCGAGCCGAACACTGTTTTGGAGAGAACATGATAAGAAGCTTTTCCAAGGCCTTGAATCCTCAACAATTGTGTATATATACCGGATTATATATATTATCCAGCACATAATTATGTATAATTACATACATACATATCGGCATGTATTGGTCTGTTTCTTGGGGTCGAATTTCTTCTGTCATCAATGTGCTGGTGTGCACTTCAAGTCATCGGATTTTAAGAAGGATCACACATACATACATACATACATACATACATACATACAT